GCCTGGGCGAGGGGCTGCCTGGGTTTGCAGACCCATGTGTCCCCCGATTGTAGCAGGGACCCCCTCTGGATCACTGGGCTGGCCTTGCCTTGGCAAGGGTCTGCTGTTGGGTTTACAGGCTGGACACGCTCCTGATCTTAGCGGGGAGAGGTTCCCCTCATGGTGACCGGTTGTTTGGTCATTTCAGTTGTGATGCCTCCTGGACTTTTATTATTATGACAATAAGGATATGTATATATATTTTCCCCAAAAATGTATACACATACTTTGAATAATTATAAAGGCAATTTTTATTAAAATACATTTCATTTTTAAAATTCAGCTATCAGGTGTTAATATATATTTTGAGGGGACACCCTTTATTTTCTCATATTGTTTTTTCTCTATCCTTATTTTACTATTAAACTTTTATTAGGTACATGCTGTTAATTCAGGAATTGCTTTTCTTCCCATTTATCTAAGGTTTCATTTTAAATCACTAATGAATTATGAATATTATTAAATGCTTTCCTAAACATCTTAAAATATAGTTTTTTTCTTTAATCTCTTAATTTCACTAATGCAAGCATAAATATTTCTGTTATTCAACTATAACTATAGTATTCCCAGAGCAAATACTAACTGGCTAAAAATTATTGTTATTACGAAAATGTGGCTGGATTTGTTTTGCTGACACCTTATTTAGAGTTTTTACATCAATGTTCCTGAGAATCAGCCTATGTTTTTCTAACTTTGCCTCCACTTCTCTAGTTTTGTATCAGCTTTGTACTAGTCCCATAAAAGAATTTAAAGTGGTTACTTCTATTTTTATTATATGGTAATATTTATATAAAGTTACGCTCAGGACTTTCTTAGAGGTTTTGTAAGATATTTATTTATTTATTTATGTCTGTTAACTTTTTTGCAAGTAGATATAACAAAAAATAATGTTTAATGTTTACTGATATATTTAGCTTTTTATTTCTTCATGGATTAATTTTGTTAATTTATCTTTTCTAGAATTTCATCTATATTATGTATGGCAAACAATTTTATAATTTTACTGTATTTATGTTTATTTGTACTTATGCTCTATTTTTATCTCCAATATCATGTTTCCACTAATTCTTATTTTTCATACTCAATCTTAGTGAATATCTGCTACTAGTATTTTTAAAGACCAACTTTTGCATTTCTTGATCTGCTCAATTATTATTTTTTTATGACAGCTCATTGATTTTTGAGTTTTAATATGTATTTTAATTTTTCTATGTCCTTATTTTTTTTTATTAAATTTTTATTGTTCAGATTACATTTGTTCCTCTCCCCCCCCCATAACTCCCCTCCTTCCAGTTCCCGCCCCACCCTCCGCCCTCACTCCCCACCCACTGTCCTCATCCATAGGTGCACGATTTTTGTCCAGTCTCTTCCCGAATCTCACATTCCCCTTTCCCCCCCAAGAATAGTCAGTCCATTCCCTTTCTATGTCCCTGATTCATTATAATCACCAGTTCATTCTGTACATCAGATTATTTATTCACTTGATTCTTAGATTCACTTGTTGATAGATGCTTGTTTGTTGTTCACAATTTGTATCTTTACCTTTTTCTTCTTCCTCTTCTTAAAGGATACCTTTCAGTATTTCGTATAATACTGGTTTAGTGGTGATGAACTCCTTTAGCTTTTCCTTGTCTGTGAAGCTCTTTATCTAACCTTCAATTCTGAATGATAGCTTTGCTGGATAAAGTAATCTTGGTTGTAGGTTCTTGGTATTCAGCACTTTGAATATTTCTTGCCATTCCCTTCTTGCCTGCAAAGTTTCTGTTGAGAAATCAGCTGACAGTCGTATGGGTATTCCCTTGTAGGTAATTGAGTCTCTTTCTCTTGCTGCTTTTAAGATTCTCTCTTTGTCTTTTGCTCTTGGCATTTTAATGATGATGTGTCTTGGTGTGGTCCTCCTTGGATTCCTTTTGTTTGGGGTTCTCTTCGCTTCTTGGACCTGTAAGTCCATTTCTTTCACCAGGTGGGGGAAGTTTTCTGCCATTATTTCTTGAAATAGGTTTTCAAGATCTTGCTGTCTCTCATCTTCTGGCACCCCAATAATTCTGATATTATTCCGCTTGAAACTGTCCCAGAGGCTCCTTACACTATCTTCACACTTTCGGATTCTTTTTTCATTTTGCTTTTCCAGTTGGGTGTTTTTTGTCAAATCTTTGGTTTGATTCTTGTGCTCCTCTGGTCTGCTATTGGGTATAATATTCTTTATTTCAGTCCGTGTATGCTTACTTTCTAATTTCTTTATCGTAGCATGGAGGGTCTCATTAGTTTTCGTGAGGCTCTGCTCAAGTTTATAGCAAGCCCTCAAAATTGCGATTCTTAGCTCCATATCCTCCATTTCTGTCATGTTTTTTTGTCTCCGCATCTTTTATGCTTTCTTGGTGCACCCCCTTGTGGTCTTTGTGCGCAGTCTTGTTCTAGCCAAGCCTTAATTGTTGCAGTTAACACTAGAGGGATTTGACCACCAGGCCGACTGGCTGTAGGAATCAGCTGTGTAGAAAACTTCAGTCCTCTGGGGAGGCGCTAATCAGCCTTTGCCTGAGGCGATTGGCAAATGGCTGTGCGCAGGGCTTGGGCGGGGCGGGCTCAACAGGGTGGGGGGAGGGAGCAGCTATGGCTGCTCTCAGTCCGTCTCCAGGGGCTCTGCCTCTCTGTCCCCGCAACCGCTGCAAACCTCGGAGGGACCATAGCCAGACAGTCCCGCTTCTCCCGTTTGAGTCTGGGTCCCTAGAGACTCGCCCGGATCTGTAGCCCAGAGTCTGAGACTCACTACTGATTGAAAACCACAACCGCGCCCTCAGCCACCAGCCCGCTTTGCGCGCGCACCGCTGCACCACCGTACCTTTAAATTTTCCACACTGCGCCTCCTCTAAGCCTCGTAATGCTGTTGTTTTTCCTTCTAGTTGAAGAGTCTCTCCTCAGCCAGCCTTCCTGTGGTTCTGGGTGATGTCCGTTCCGTCTTTTAGTTGTATTTTTGAAGTGGTTGTTCGAGGCAGCAAACTCCGGTGTTTACCTATGCCGCCATCTTGGTTTCTCCTCTATGTCCTTATTGGTTCAGTATTTTCTGACTTCTCAAGCTTAATGCTTAGTTCATTATTTTTTTCTTTACTGTTTTTATATGTGTATGCAGCTAGTATATGCATATGCAATCCTATATAATAAAAGGGTAATGTGCAATTGACCCTAACAGCAGAATGACTGGGAATGACTGGTCACTATGACACACACTGACCACCAGGGGGCAGACGCTCAATGCAGGAGCTGCCCCCTGGTGGTCAGTGAGCTCCCACAGGGGGAGCTCTGCTCAGCCACAAGCCAGGCTGTCAGCTGCCAGCACAGCGGTGGTGGTGGGAGCCTCTCCCGCCTCCTTCAGCAGTGCTAAGGATGTCCAACTGCAGCTTAGGCCTGCTCCCCGCTGGCAAGTGGACATCCCCCAAGGGCTCCTGGGCTGCCAGAGGGATATCTGACTGCCAGCTTAGGCCCCATCTTCTGGGGAGCCAGCCTAAGCCAGCAGGTGGACATCCCCTGAGGGGTCCCAGACTGCGATAGGGCACAGGCCGGGCTGAGGGACTCTGACAAGTGCACAAATTTTTGTGGTCGGGTCTCTAGTATTATTATATATGTGCATGTGTATGTGTGTTTTCCAACTGTGTAGTGATGTGTGCAAATCTTTATGCTATTGGATTTTTTAATATTATCACACAGTAGAAGAATTAATTCTCTATAGTATGTGTTTTAGGATCTTTGTGATGTGTCTCATGTTTCTAAACAGACAGCTTAGTCCAGAAATATAAAAATTACGAATTTTTTAATATGAGTTAAACATTACAATTCAAAATTCATTTAAACCTTACAATTCAGAACTCTTATAACTTCTGTTTTTCATGGCTTTGCACAGACAACTCAGAACAGTGGTCAATAACTCATATTCTAGAGGAAGTCAAATTGAGTTCAAATCATCATGTATTCACCTACTTACTGAGTGACTTTTGGAAAGTCATTTAAACTATATATTGTTTTGCTTTTTTATAGGTAGAATGAAGATATTGATAGTAATTACTTTGTAGGGTTGCTGTGATGGTTAAATTGATTTCTTATATATATGAAATCCTTTATAGTAAACAAAATTATTAAAACAATTTTAATATAGAGTTAATATTATTATTAACAATTATGTTAATAAATATTAACAACTATGGTTATATTTGAAACTGAGAGCATCTTATTATAGTTCAGTTCAGCTATGTACTCAAATATGTATTCAACATTCTATGTGTATATAACAGAAGTAGTATATATCCTCACTTAGTAGCTCTGATAGTCATGGTGCCAAAATTCCTCTACCAATATTCAGCTTTCCAGAAATTTTAATATTCTCTCTCCCATTGCTGACACTCCCCATTGTCTTTCCATTGTCTATCTGAAGATATTTGTATTTCTATACAAATACAGTAAGGTCGTCCCATCTTGAACCAAATGCCAAATTATTTTAGACAATATCCAAGAGCTTCTTAGAGAATAAAATTTTCCTGAAGTTTGAAAATATGCAAATATCAGGAAATAAAATAACAAGAAAGTGAATTAACTGATAGATAGATATATGAGAATAATTTGCTAAAATAATAGTTTATTAATGAAAATATTATCTGAATCTATAATGTTGGTTAAATAATAAATTAGAAAACCTCTCTGAACTATACCTGCTACTAGTCCATGGGTTTGATGAGTATAGAACTGAGGAGCTGACCAATTTTCAGTTCTTGTCTTCCATCGAGGCACCATCCATGCCCTTTGACCCCACTGCTGAGGGAAAGTCACGGCCAGCTCTCATCACTCAGTGAAATGCGGGTATTCTATGAGTCCTAAGCTAGAAAACCCAGTTAGCTTACTCCACTTCATTTCCATTCACCCACCACTTTAACTGAAATTCTAGTCTCTAGTAAAGGACCTAAAGACACAGTTCATGTATTTTCATTTTTTATTTAAATACAAAAGGTTAAATATGTGTGCCATACTGGCAAAGGTACTTCTAGAAGTTGGTAAAGAAGAGCAGGACTGCCAGTAATTCCCTGAAGAAGGAAAAAACACAAAGAAATACAAAATACATAAGGTGAGCATAGTAATTCCCAGAAGCCTTCAATCCGTATTTTACCATCTTTCCTCTTTCATCCTCTTCCATGTGCTTTTGCCACTTCCTTTGACTTCTGTGACCCTTATGGTATATTCACCAAAATCAGACAGGGTGATTTTTGTAAAATCAAATTCATTCTCATTTCTCTGTTCACAAGCACTCAAAGGGTTTCCTATCTCACTCAGGATTAAAACTTTAGAGCATTTACCATGTAATCACCAAAACCAAGGTGTCTAGACTCTTCACCATTTTCTGATTTTGTCTCTGCCATTTCCCCCAGTCCCCCTACCTTTTGGCAGTTCTTTAAAGATGTTAAGCACATTCTGCCTCAGGGCATTTGTGCTTGCTGGTCCCAGGGGTGCTGGAACATTGTTCTTACAAGAATGACAAGGTTCACTACCTGACTCTGCCCACTCTCTGTTCTGACTTATTTTATCACTTCAAAGGAGCCTTTCTTAAATAATCTATCCATTATAGTACAACACCCATCTCTTTCATCTTTTTAACCTCCTTTATTTTTCTTCTCAGCTCTTATCACTCTGACATATATTTACTTGTCTGTGTATTTAGAGTCTGTCTCCAGTGACCAGAGTATGAGCTTTCTGAAGCAAAAGCTTTCCGTTTAATTTGTATACTGGTATATCCCAACATTCTAGAACATAACATGGAAAATAGTAAGTGCTTGATAAATATTAGTCAACGAGCTCAATCCCTAATTTGGTTCTCTTATACTAACTAGGCAATAAAAGCTATTCTGATTAAGTATCTATGCAATTATCCACCAGGGAATCACAAACCAGGAGTAGAAGAAGGTGGGTAAAGATGTAAAGTAGTAAGATAAACTTTACTATAAAATTTAATTTAAATTATGATGTTGAAAGAAAGATTAACAATACACTTACAATAGTGTGATATTAAGCTGTTATGAGTGAGTAAATTAATAGCTGGGTCTAAATTCATTGGACCCACTGTAAAATATATTTACCCAAACAATAAATGTGTGTTAACATGGGTACTTGAAAGGGTTTCAGAGCAGTACTTAAGGATATGAGTGCAAACTCTGCAATCTACATTGAGAGAACAGTCAGAGAGCCAGAATGTGCATCAACACAAGAATTACAGTCCAGGGTATATTTTATACTGTCTTGGTAATAGGAGCTCAAGGTCAGTAATGTGATATCTGCACTTAAAGGACCAATATCCTGCTTCCTTCACAGTCATCTCCTCTGTTTTCTGTTTTGTTTTATTGTTGTTTTTTTGTTTGTTTTACTTTTCAGGACCTGAGGCAATGTTTGGTAACTCTGTGTGTCTCTGTGTGTGTGTGTGTGTGTGTGTGTGTGTGTGTGTGTGTGTGTGTAGTGAGAGACAAATATCAAGTAATAATGGAAGTATGAGTACAGTTATATTTTAATAATTACTACCCTGTGTCCTTGATTGTTTATTACTTCCTGTCTTAGTTTGGCTTTTCTCCTTGATTTTTTGACTGATTAATTGATTATCAAGATGAGGAGGATCCAGATTCATATAAGTAGAGGAAAACAAGATTAGCTAGTCACTAAACTACATCCATAAGCAACATTAATTTGACTACCCAAGCAATTGGCTGTCATTAGCCGATGAACCTTACTACCAATATCACTTTCCCATTTATTATACCTGCCAACAGCTTTGATACTTACTATTTTCAATTGCCAGGAAAGAGGTAGAAATATCTTGACATGGATAGTCGTTCAATGGTGGGCATCTGGGCTCTAACATCTGGCTTTTCAAATGATTGTTGAACCTTTAAAAAAAAGAGGTTCTAGATGAAACATAACTCTTATCCACTCTCAGAAAACATTTTACACCATGAGCCAAAATATTCTGGGAATGAAGGGACCAAGCCAATGGATATTCTAACTCCCTGTCACTGTTACCCTACTGTTTAGAAGTAAAGCCCCATGTCAGAATATACTCTTTATCTCAAAATAAACACCTCATGCCTAACCCAAGGCCTTTCAAAGTTCACTTTCTTTTTCTGTTTCAGATCTGCAGATCTTAACTGATCTCATGGAGTCAATTCATGAGAACTAAAGCTCAAAAATGCTCTACCTTCAACCTGCAAGGTTAATCCTGAATTCAATAAGGCACAGACTCAAATATTGTTCCTAAAACCTGAACACAACAACTTTCACATCCTAACCAATAAGCTGACCTCTGAAGATTTTGTCATGTACTGATAAATGAGATTCTATTGACACCATTGCAATTAGGTAGTTATTAATGATAGAACAGGAGCAAGGGGAAAGGCAAGACACTTCGGGCATGTTATTTAGGCAGCTTCACCAGGAAGCTGGAATTTCACTAGCCCATTCCCTGCAGACCACTGGGGGAAGAGATCCAACTAATGGGAGATGAGTGCATGCACATGGAGTTGGGGTTACAAGGGAAAGCGCCTGTCAGTCAAGCCTGGGGAACAATGGATTTGGCTAGACTAGGCAGGGCCATTGCAAGCCTGCACCAATTTGGCAATGCATAAACCAGCAGATAAGAAGCTCACTCTCTTGTGTGGCTCTCTTGGCTCCCATGCTCCTCTGGCTTTGTTCCTGCCCCTGTTGTCTCCATAGCTGCATGGCCCATGGCCACGTGGACCTCACACGCAATGGACTATAACTGGAAACACAAATCAGCCAGCTTGATGCTCCATTTGACTGTGGAGACATGGAACAGATACTCTGGACACTGGCTTTGATTTCAGTTCTGCTGAAAACAAAATGGTACTTCTTATTGGCAGGAGAAACTGAAATGGGACCTTGGGAACTCAGGGGTATAATTGCACAGAAATGAAGCTTTCTATAACATATCACCTTCCCATGTGAGCCTCAGAAAATTCTCAGGATATTGCAACACACCCACTCCCACCAGCAAGTGGTGGGGATGAGGACCTCTCCCCACTGATCACACTGTTTCTAGACTTCTCCCAGGAATGCCCTAAAGTACAATGTCTAATTCCTATTCATCCAACAGGACTGAATTTCCAAAGTTCCCATTCACGGAGACCTCAATGCATGTTACAATGCAATCTTCTCCTGCTTACTAAAGCGGTGTTCTTCTTTGCCCACGGAGTGCTACTGTTCTCCACAGTTTTCTATTTAAAAACAACCATATAGCCCTAGTTGGTTTGGCTCTGTGGATAGAGCGTTGGCCTGTGAACTAAAGGATCCTAGATTCAATTTCACTCAAGGCTGATCCCCAGTGGGGGGCATGCAGGAAGCAAGCCAATCAATGATTCTCTCTCATCATCAATGTTTCTATCTCTCCTCTCTCCCTTCCTCTTCCAAATCAATAAAAATATATTTTAAAAATAGTAACAAATAAAACTGCCCCATATTCTTAATAAACTGAAGGGAGAAAGGTATTGATATTCATGCATTGATTTATTGAATGATTATTAATTCCCATGTGCCAGCATGTTGAGGTGTTGAGCACATTTCTACCTTCATGAAGCTTGCATTCAAGCGAGTAAGTACAGGTAAGAACAAACAGAATCTATGCCGAATGAATGGTGGTCAGAACTGTGGAGGAAAACAAATTAGGAGGAAGGGGGGAATAAGAAATTTCCTGAGGTGGGAAAGGAATTTGGTCTTCCTTTCTGGACCACTCCATTCAAAGAATACCTTCTCCCTTTTGTTTTTTCACGTGCCCTTGATCCTTTGTGTTATGGAGCTTATCGCAATCTGTAATGACATACGTGTTTGCTGGCCTACTTATTTCGTATCCATCTCTCTCACAAAACGGTCCTGAGTAGCCTTATGACACAATATCTCACTTACACCTGTGTCACAGGATAGCAATAATTACCAAGTAGGATAACACCCAATAAATATTTATTCAATAAAGTAAGCCATACAAATCAACTCAAAATACTTGCCATTCTTTGACCTAAAATAATGTATAGCCCATAACAAATAAGCTTACAGATTATATTATTTTGTTTTATTTTGATCTCGAGCAATTTTGTGTTCATCTCTTCTCCTCCTAAATCAGATGTCAACCCTGGATGTCAACCACTGCTCTACATTTGTTTGCCTGACGAAGCCTGACATTGTCATTTGAAATAAGAATAATAGTAAAGTCTTCCAGCATATGCGCGCACGCACACACACACACACACACACACACACACTCACACACACACACAGGATTGGAAAAGGAAGAAGAAAAAGCTTACCTTCCGAAATACTTCCTCGAGGTGACAGCACCAAGAATACTTCTGGAAGCATTTGATTAGTTGTATGATGAAGAAAGAACCTTTACTAGTGTCTCTCCAGGACACATTATCTGTGAAGATAAGGAGTGGTCAGCCTTGGGATGTGCCCTTGAATGTTTTCTTTTCTCACACTTTTATTTATGTAGTTTTTGAGTTTTTTAAGCGTAGCTTTGGAAATAACTTGACATGTTTAGGGGAAACACTCATATCTCTACATTCTCTAATTTTCCAAAAAGAGGAGGAAAAAAAAACTACCTGGCAGAGATTTAACTAAGGGAATAACTCACTAGAATTTCATAATGTTTGCATTATATTCTTGGAACTGACTCTTAACTATGTGCTTCATGTTCATTCTCTTGGTTTTGAAACGTGCCCTGAGAGATAAATGAAATTACCCCATTTTACAAAGGAAAGAAGGGACGGCTCAGAGGATTAAAAAATTTCCCCCACCCCTATACAGTAAGGCAACAGAAAAATGGCTTCCCTGGCTTCCAGTTTGCTTCCAGAGTATATAGCATTCTGTATTTCACAATATTATAAGCAGAGTGGGTGAACAAATCCAAAGGAAATTGTGGTCATCGTTTCACTGCTGTATATTATACCCAACTCATGTTATATACATTCAGTATATACAGCATTTTGTATGTGAATTAAACCTCCATGTGCCCTGAACTATGTTGCTCAGTTAGAGCATGGTCTGCACACTGGAAGGTCTCAGGTTCCATTCCTGGTCAAGGGCACATACCTGGGTTGCAGGACAGATCCCTGCCCCCTGGTCAGGGGCATGTGGGAGGCAACCAATTGATGTGTCTTTGTCACATGGATGTTTCTCTCTCTCTCCCTTTCCTTTCCCTTGCCTCCCCCTCCTTTCCACTGTCTCTAAAATTAATGGAAAAAATATGTTCACTCCCTGTGTGAGGATAAAAAAAAAACAAAAGAAACCAAAACCTCCATGAAGTGGTTACAAAAAGAAAAGACTTAAAACAAAAATTTGCAAAATAGAAGCATTCAAATGCTAGAGGCTTCTTAGAGGACTACCTAGAGGTCCAGGACTAAACACTGATCCCTATTATCAGGCCTGCTAAGCCCAGGGTATAATTTTCTACTTCTTTAAAGGATCTCCTCATCCTGCTGAGCCATGCAATGACTCTCTCTAAAAAGCATCAAATGAGAACCATGGAGAAAAAGAGTTGGTGTTGATAATTTAAGGATGGCAGCCAGTGTCTGGATCCACTAAAACTCTATCCAAAATGTTAAACAGATTTGATAGAAAATGGAATCAAATTTGCTTTTTAAATGGTGTATGAGAATGGGGTTCCCTTTTTTGGGTTGTTTTAGTATGTGGTATACCTTTGACCATAAAGTGCTGTACTTAGAATAAAAGTACAGTTTTAAAAAGTGGAAAATATAGAATCTCTGTTTCCATAGAATAGGTCAGATAAATGTAAATTGATTTGACAGCCCTCAAAATGTGTCATACGTCACTGCTGCAGGGAGCCCATCTCAATATTCCAGAATCATTCTGAGGTGGCCTTAGACGCACAACCCTTGTCTGTAACTGAAAGACCTACGTGGAGTTGAGGAGAAGAAAGCAATGAAGTCCTTCTCCACGTGTGCTTTGTAAATGGCATATTCCTTCAGGTTCTCAGGTGACTGTGAAGAGCTGTCTATCATGGCTACTGGAGAGTCACTGACCCAAAATTCCCCGCGATTTTCTGTGGAGACATTAACATTGTGCAAACTGTGTGTCTCTATCAGTATGACTGTCACTATTGTCTACCCCATTCTTTTCAAATGTTTCTCAGCAATTTCACACACACACACACACACACACACACACACACACACACGCACACACGCAAGCGCATATACACACACCAAGCCCTTGCCCCACACACATACCTTGGCCTCCTCTAATGTCTTTATTTGCCAATTAATGGTGGCAGCATCTTACCAGCAAGTAGTGATGGCATCAGCAAACTGGAAGAACCCACTTCCTAAGAAGAGCACAGGACTAAAATCTTTATCTGCATAATTTTAGAGCCTAGTTACCATTTTTCAGCTTGGCTATTTCTGCTTTTTCTTCCAAACACTGCTCCAAAACGCTAGGAGGCAATTGGAAGTCAGAAAAAAAGCAAAGGAAATATTGACAGAAATTTGAAGTGCCCACATCAACCTACTCAATTCCCTTTAAAAAATGCATGAGGGGAAAAGGGTGCTGCTACTATAGAACAGCCCCAATTTGCAATGAAATTCTTCTCAAGCCAGAGAATGTCAAAATGCCTGTAAGACATGTCCAAGTGAAGCTGTCATTAAAATAATCTTATTCCAAGATTTAGATATTTGTGTCCAACTTTGATTTAGGTAGTCTGAAGATCTGCTTCACAATTTACCTTGGATTAAATCAGATAGGTATTTCTTAGCTGAAAAGACAATCTCTCATGATACCAACTCCCCTTGGCATTTCCCAAAAATTCAGTAAAGTATTTGCACTGAATGGGGTCTAGGATTGCTTCCCCTAAAAGCAAAACATACATCACAATCCACTGCAAACACCTCATGCCCTTTGGAGTTTCCATATCAGAACTCACCACCTCTGCAGGCCTGGACAATGATGACCTTCGGTTTGTCCCTGAGACTGGGGCAGTTGCGATTGTTGAATACCCGAAAGATGGTGTCATAAGGTAGCACGTCTGGGTTTTCCTTGCTGTGCTGTTTCCCACAGAGTTTATCCAGGAGGCCATGGGACATGAACACCAGGAATGTACTATCTGAGGTCCTGTGCTCTGGGCGGGCAGCAAATGCCACCAGCACTTTCTCCATCTCCTGAAAAAGGCCCCGGTGTCTTACTCTAACAGGACAAGCATTAACACCAATATGACCCCCTGTTGATGGTGAGCAGTATAAGAAACACCTGTAATGTTCCAGTCACTGTGCCTTCAGATAGTGGTTGCTCAGTGATAGGTTTCTTTTTCTTCTGACCATGGAGCTGGAGTTTCAAGGACCTGCTCCTGCTAACTTTATATGAGCTGTCCTCTGGATGTATTTTACGTTTGTTTATTTTCACTTACATATTTTTCTTTCTATCTCTGTCTTTTATCTGATTACCTAATAGGAGCCCTGCATCATACCTGTATCCTACCACTTCCCTTCAACCACCCTTCCCACTGCGCTTAGAATGAAATCATACTTCTGACATATGTGTACTCCCTCCTGTCATCCTTCCTAGGCTCTCCTTACACTGGTCTTTTTGTATATTTCATGTGTCAGTTTCATATGTAGTTCAGACTCTTCATTATAGTCATCCCTCTTGGAATGGGTTGCATTCACATATTCCCAGACCTGTCTTGTTACTGGTCGTCATCTGTCAGGTCCTATACTGTCTCCTGTCAAGGCTTTTCTGACCGTTCCATCCAAGCAATTACTCCCCACTCCCCAATTGGCTCCTGTATTTTCTTTTCTCACTTACATTTCACTTTATTTTCACTCTCACAGAGAGACATAAGACACATCAAATCTCTGAATTTTTCTGTTTTGCTTTTTATATGATTACCCCCCCCCCACCAGTAAACCTAAATCAATTTGAACTTGGAACATGCTGCTCATCCACACATCTACCCCCAATGCCAAAACAGGCCCTGGGACCAAGTCAGGACTCAGTATTTATATGGTGACTACATGCCTTTTAATTACTTTAGAATGCCTTAAAGTAATGCCTTTCATTACTTTAGAATTTTCTGGGAATGTTGGGTCTGAATCCCATTTGCCTCACTTTGGAACTGAGAATTATGTGGGTATACATGCCAGGCTATTTCTGTCTAGTTTTATAGAATTGAGGATATTTGGAGTCCAAAGAGACAGAGATGTCACCCATCTAATAACTTCATTTTATAATCACGCATACTCACATGCACGTGCCCACACAGAGAGATATGTGCCCTAAGGTTGTTAAAGTATTTGGCTATCATTATAAAGTTAGTTTGTTAGTAGGAGAGTGTTTGGGGTGCGTGAGGAGCCCTTACCTTGGCTGTGAGGTTCTCTTCCACAATCACACTGTAGCCAAGACCCACAAGCAACTCTTTCATCCCTGTGATGTCATGCTCTGCTCCCTGTCTGGGCTGAAGGTGATCAAACTCTCTATTGCATATGATGAGAGCCAGGCGAGTGCGGTCTTTTCTCTCCTTTATTGGATAGATCTGCAGGAAATGGATATGCAGTGAGTTTGACTTTCCTAAATCTCTTTTAAACCTTCATGTACCAATCTCTGTTGCTTTGTTACAGGATCATAGATCTGCTCTCTCCCTGCTTCTGTGCTAGAGACCCTGCTTTTTTCTTTGTAATGGATTGAACTGACAAAAGAAATAAGTGAGAATTGAAAGTGATTTAGAACTTTCAAATTATATAAAAATAAACTAAAAAATAAAATTATGTAATTTATTTTCCAAGAGCCCAGAAGTGGACCTAGAACATATTTGGGATGCTTACTCAAGAATCTTGAAGAGTCTAGAACAATTCCTACCATAACTTTTTCCTCTCTCTTCTCCACCTGGACAAATCATTCTCAGTGTTCAAGGTTCAGATCAAATTTCATAAAAACCAGGAGAATTTTCTATTGGCTCGAGCTAAAAATAAGCACATCATCAATGCTTTGCCTTTGGTAACATCATTATTCCAGTATTATTTTTAACACATGGAGAAAAAATGGATTTCAGGCCTTAATTGTATTTTAAGTCATGTTTTGTGTCTAGGCTTTTCAACAAGTATGAAAATAATCACTAAATATTTTGATCTATAGCTACAGCTTAATTTAATAAGTCTCAAATAGATAGAACAAATAAATGAAGAGAGAGATCTGTATTTTATCATGGGGTTGAAAGAAAATTGAAATCGGTGTGAGGCTATATGAGTTCCTCCTTGATCAAAGCATCTATGAAAATGGTTACCACTGTCCCCACCCTACCACTCTGCAATTAGTGCTTTAGGAAATTGGGTATTTAGTGAAAGCAATTGCTTCTCTTGTTTTCTCTATTTTATGGATAGAACACAGTACCTCTTCAGGCCTTTTCTTACACACTTTAAGGAACTCTTCAGGAGGACAAAGCTTGAGGGTATCTGTAGTTTCTGCTGACTCAGGTGGCCAGGCCACTTCTGGAGGAGCTGCAGGATATATCACATGACATCACATGATGTAAATTTTAATATCTGCATCTGTTAGCCATGATGACCTAAGACACACTGGCAGAGAAGTTAAATCATAAGAAGTTTTTTAAACACTTTTTAATGTAAGAATTTTCCTTGTATCTAACCTCTAAAATGAAAAAGTGTATTGTGACTGGGAAAATAAAGGGGAAATTCTTGGTTCCAGATCCACCCAAAAGTGTGATACTAGATTATAATTATTAAGAGAAAACACCTTCCTTGGTGACTTGGGTCAAATTTGGCCTTTTTATATTCAGCTAAAACAGCTTGAGTCTTGCTATTTTTTACTCTAGTTTACTCACTCATCTAACTGGACGGTTTCTTGTCACTGAGCAAGAGTATATTGAATAAATATTTAATAGAGTGCTATTCATTAGAAATATAATTAAGTCACATGTGCAATTGAATTTTTTCTAATGTTCACATCATAAAAGGAAAAACAGATGAAATTAATTTTAATAATATTTTTTTGACATAATATATTCAAACTATTATCATTTTAACATGTGTTCAAGCACTATGTAGTCACAATGTGGCTGGTAGCTATCATATTGGACTAGAGGCCCAGTGCACAAATTTGTGCATGGGTGGGGTCTGGCTGGACCACTCCGATCAAGGCCAATTAGGCTGGCCAACCAGGGGGAGGGGCTTTGGGCAGTTGGTGGGCTGGCCCCGCCAGCTAGTGCAACATCCAGTGGAATGGACAATTTGTATATTAGCCGTTTATTATATAGGATGGTAGAACATCCCAAGTCTGCTCCTAATTTATACACAACACAGACACAGACACACACTAAACACCTAAAAGAATCCTCAATCAGTAACATCCAGCCATTATTTCTTCAGGGACCTCAGCCTGTATTTTCAACTTGTCCAGAGGAGATAGGCTCCTAGGATTCCTTGAAAAGCTGTGGAGTCAGCTATGTCAAGGGGAAATGCTAACGAGCCACCAGAGTACTGATTCCAGGGCCAGGGGGACAACATTTTGCTTGGAGATTCTAACATACACTGGATGTCCTTGCCTCCAAAATTCTGATTAAACGGCACTAAATTTTCAACCCATGTTTTAAAATGTGAGAGAATAACTCCTCCCTTTTAAAGACGTTTGTTTCTGGCTCATCCTGACTCAGTCCTTACAGAAACTTAGCTATATCTGTCACATCTTGGCATCCCTTGACAAATTTTGCAAGAGACTGGAAAAGTCCAGCACCCCTCCTTTCAGAGGAAGGAGTAAGAATGCATAAACAATAGAAGAGAGGTTTGCCAAGATCTAATTAACAAGGTTTTTGTCTAGGAACAAACCTTGATGGTTAGTTACATGAACATATCAAGGCACTCCCTGATTTTCTTTTATTTAAAAGAAAAAGGCAATATTATCCTGTATAAATGTTTTAGTTTCTATTTTTTCTATTTTACTCATTTATTTCCATTAGATTTTCCATAATATTTTTAATAAACATCTTTCTAAAGCATATGCTAAACACTGAAGCTCTATAGAAGCAGAAAATTGTTAGTCTCTAAGGAAACCAAGCTTTCTGAACATTTTTATAGATTAAAAAGAGGCATGCTCTCCTTTATCATTCCAGAAGATTCTGGCAATGTAAAGACACCCGGGGTCCTGGATGTTCCCTCATTAGAGGGGATATTTCACAGCAAAAACCTCCTCTATTTCCAGGGTATTTGCAAGTTTGGTGAACACTTTTAACTTAAGAAACATCATCTCCTAATGACCATTGTGTGTCTATAAATAATTATAATGTTTGCAGTTAAGATTGGGAATTATATTTCTCTGTTACATCTAATAGTATGAATTAGCATGAAAACAAATCCTCTCATTAAAATATAATAGATATTATAGTACAGCCTGCTGCCCAAAAGGAGTTTCTAGCAGCCTGGAAATGGAGCTGAAAGAAATGCGATAAATAGGAGTTTAGATCAACTTTAAAAAGCTCAGTTTACCTGTTACCTAAGGACACATTCAGGAAACCCCTTCAAATGATATAAAAAGAAAAGGAGTGGTATTAGATGAGACAAAACCATATCTCTTGATGGGTAGTAATTTGAGTACTTATCTCTCTGGCTAAATATCAATGCTTGGTACTGTGAAGGGATACCCCTATTCTGTAAACTACTGTTTGGAATTCTCTGCTAGTCTTTGGACGGCCTCTTATTCTGAAAAAGTAACTTTGCCTTCTAGCATGCTTGAATAGTGGGGGAGATAAACTTAGCTACCTGACCTTGTAGGCCAGAGACTCAATACACCTAATGCCATGCCAGGTGCATTTTTTAATTGGATAGAACTGTATAGTTTTCAAGGCCGCTGCCAGCAAGCACACAAAGGGCTGGCTCTTCTATAAAAAGGGAAGTTCTGCTTGTAGCTTTGCTTAGATTTGGATTCATTTCCCTAGGCCCGCCGCAGTGAATAAAGTGTAACTCCAAACTCTCAGAGCACTGCTTGGTTCTTGTCCGGTTTTTCTGTAACAGTACACCATATGTGTCTTTATATGAGTTTGTTAAATAAAATAAGAAATCAAATACCTTGTATTCTTTCTATCCCCCACACCATTCTCTCAATATCATACTAGAGACCCTCAGAATTATATCTATGGTATGTCCAAAAGGCCTGGCCAGGATCTTACTTGTTCTAACAGATCATCTCACCCAGCTTCCTGGCCTGCTAGGCTTGTGGACCTTAGTTGTTCTAGGATCACCCTGGGTGCTCCATGTGCAGATAGAGCCCAGGGAACCATAGAACACATCATGATAGGATCTACCCCTGCCTCCTGCCTGCCAATCACTATCTCTGCCAATGCATTGGTTTATATCAGTTTCGTTTAATGATTATGGTGATTCCTTGGGTTAATAAAATCATTTTATAATTTCTAATATTCAAATGTGATTTATTTTTTGCAAATATTTTATTTTTGGGAAAAAAAATCCTATTATTCCTTCCCCATCCCAGATTAAAGAGAAAGCAATAAACCTGTACAAGGAGCAGCGTGAATGTTAGTGAGAACACAGCTCAGGCCACAATATTGGACATCTATCAGAAAAGAGTGTCCTTCCTGCTGGGGGGAATGTCCCTTCCACCTAGAGAAGGGCTTCTTTCAAAAGCTAATACATATATGCATAACCCATGGTCACAGACACTAGTGTGGTAAAGGCCTGGGGGTTGGAGGGGGAAAAACGGGACATGTAGTGCTTTCAGTAATAAAGAGACATTTAAAAAGAGAAAAGAAAAAGGGAACAAAAGCTTATGTGTAATTGTGAGGGTTCTATAATGTATGTAGCCTTTTATGTATTAATTTTTTATTACTATTGATGAACTCTAGTGAAACAGGAATTTTAGGGGTGAAATAGGACAAGTTTAGGAAATATTAGAACTTTTGGAAGTTAAGGGAACCATTGAGGAAGCACAGGGGTGCAGAGCAGCAGAAGGTCTATTTCCATAGAACTGGTGAGCTGAAAAGCTGTTACAGGTACATTTCCATAGAATGAGGGAGCTGGGAGCAGCAAAAGGTCAGTTTGTTAAATAAAATAAGAAATCAAATACCTTGTATTCTTTCTATCCCCCACACCATTCTCTCAATATAATACTAGAGACCCTCAGAATTATATCTATGGTATGTCCAAAGCATTTACAAAATGCTCTTTATATTTACAAAATAAAGAGAAGGAAGCCCTTCATCCAGAAGGAGAGGAAGAAGCCCAAAGGGAATAGGAAAACAATAGGGAAGGAGATGGGGGAGAACTTCACATGTCCCATGTGAGGTTCAACCTTGAGCCTAGGAGTTACTATAGTAACTAGTCTAAGGGACTAGTG